GCAAAGCCAATTCTAGTATTTAAGCCGGTACCGACAGCGGTGCCTCCAGCTGCAAGCTCATAGATTCTTGGCATAGCAGCTTTTATCCTCGCCATTGCATATGACACTTGTTGAACGTAACCACTGAATTCCTGAAAAGAGAAGAAAATTAAGATGAGAATAAATAATTGCTAATGGCTTGTAAGTTACTCTAACTGCATTGAAGAGAAGGTTTTTAAAATATATTTCAAAATACTAAATTATAAACTATCCAAGTGGTATTTATACTAGTTTAATTCATATGATAAGCAAAGTATGCTGAAGGACGGTGGTTTATAAAACTATAAGGCAGGGCAATGCCACTGATAACATGTAGCAGGCTATTTATAATCTAGTTTTTTGTTACCAGAAAGCAAAGAAAAACAATACAGGAAATAAAATTTTAAAAAGAACAACTTTACTACATTAAATTATTAGTTTATTCACAATCTACTAAATAAACTGAAGTGATTTCTTATTTTTTAGTGTGCCCCAGACAACTCTGAGAAAGAAAAAAATACTAAATCCTCTTAACAAGCAAAATGAAAACATGGAATATTCTCTATATAATTTTAGTTTAAAAACTTGATAAGGAACATGAGGATATTTTATAGAGACTTGGGAAGCTAAACGACTCACTGAACAGCACAAAATACTAATAGAGTCAGACTATGGCTTCAATAAGCATTTTAATTCTGCTGTCAATGTCACACTGGTTCCCAAACTATGACACACTTTAATTAAGGCAACCATAGAATTTATCATGCTTTGAACATAGTAGGGCCCTATTAATAATTATGCAGGGACAAAAGGCATAAACCAGGGCTTAACCTGGGCAAGCCAAAATATATGGCCACATTAAATCTATCTTTTTTTCTTGCCTGAAAACCATGAATAATGTTACTGTTCTAAAGAAAACATTTCAAAAGATATAACTGCCTTTAGGTAGACCTAATCCATATGACAGAACATTACTCATATACACCACCTAACAATGTTTTGGTCAAGGACATACAGCATATATAACTGCTACCATAAGACTATAATACCGTATTTTTACTACACCTTTTCTATGTTTTCTATGTGCCTCTCCCTCTAATTTTAATGAAATATTTACCATTATGTTACAGTTGCCTATGGTATTCGGTACAGTAACTTACCATACAGGTTTGTAGCCTAGGAGCAACAGGCTATACCAGGGGTGGGGAACCTTTTCACGTTGGAAGGCCACATTAATTTAGCTATAATCAAATAAGGCCTCATTCAAGAAACTTCAATTAGAAATACTTAAAAATGTACATTATTTTATAAAAAATCTAACTACTATACACTTAATAATTTCAAAAAAATGTAAACTATTTGTTAATTGTAAAAGTTAACTAACCTTTTAATGACTTTGTTGTGTCTGCTTTTTGTTGGAAAGCATTTGAATATTTGGTTGCAGCATGGAGATCTGCGGTTTCAGCTGATCCTCTAGATGGGTATCAGTCACTTATAACCTTAAGGGCATCTTGATTTGGTTTAAGTAGGAGAATGCAGATTCGCAGCAATGGGTGGTTGAAAAGCAAGAAAGCATTTTTCAGGCATGTTGCCTAAGGCATTTTTCCATTGCATTTTTCTACTGCATTTTTCTATCTTTCAGTTGGATCTTTCTTAGCATCAAACAATGACTTTAAAATGTCATCTACTGAGAGCTCAATCAATTCCATCTGTAGTTCTTTAGGTGCCTTGGTGATATCAACTAGGTGACACTGAAAAGCTAATTTGAGTGTGATGTCATGATTCTCAAAGTCAGTGAAGCTTTCACTCTATTCTCCAATTAATAGCTCTATAACAGCTGCATATTCTTCGAATGATTCACACATACCCTGCTCATCAATGACCTTTGCTAACTGGGCAAAATGTTCATCTGAAATTTACTTTTGAAGAAGTGTTTTAAAAAAGATAGCTTGCCACACATCATACACAGACTTAGTTTTACCTTGCAAAGAAATATTCAAGCTGTTTTGATTTGATATATCACATATAAATGCTGCATTTCTATAGAAATCTTAAAATAATTCACATTGCTGATTCTATTCTTAATAAAATTTAACTATCTGTTCTTGCAGAAATAAAATTTTGGCTAATACCTGTCCCTGAGATAGCCAATGCACTTTGGAATGATAGGGCAAATCCACACTGAATACCTCATCCCCTTCAACTTTAGCATGTGACATAACTGACAATACCGTGTTGCATTTGCACAAATATGGTTAACAATACTTATAACTTATTGCAAAGTATCACTTAAAATAGTAGCTTTAGCACAGATATTTCGCTAGTGCAAGAGACAATGAAAAGAAATGAGAGCATCTGTAGCTGTTAACACTTTTTTTATCTGTGCAATAAACCTTTTATGTTTTCGTGTCATGGAAGGTGCGCTGTCAGTATATACACTCACTAAATTTACCAAATTCCGTCTAACTTCGTATTTATCTTGAAAGTTGTTAAAAATATTTATTCCCTGTGTTCTTTTCCCAAGAGTGCCCAAAGCAAGTAACTCTTTGTAGCAAAGAAAATCTTCCATTATGACCCAAATGAAGTACAAAACCTGCACCAACTCAGCAGTATCAGTTGATTGAGAAGTTGTTCTATTAAGTTGAAGGCTAATTCATGCTGCCAATCAGTCATGGCTCTCCATGAAAGAGGCAGTTGTTTGTACTTTGAAACATTATTGGGGTCTAAGCATCTTACGACTTAAATGATGCCTTCTTTTACAATTTCTACATCACTGAACAGCTTTCCTTTTTTCCAAATATATAAGGTACTTTATAAGTTGTTTCAGTGGCATTATTTCCAGCTCTTATTGCTGCTTGAAAGAATTGTCTTTGCTTTTGCTTTTCATCTTTTAATTTCTGCAATACAACCTTTTGTGCCTCTCCCTCTAATTTTAAAATATTTGTGGTCCTTATGAGTGTTATAACACTGATGAGCACTGAATTTCTTTAATGTTGACATTGCAGTATCACAAAGCAAGCTAATAATCTTATCTTTAGCAAAAGCAAGATAATATTGCAATTCCCAATCCTCATTAAAATATCTGTTTTTTTCCTTTAGCATTCTCTTGGTCTTCTTTGACATGATGGGCTGTTAAGCAAACAAAATTAAAAAATACTGTCGAGCTGTGCAACTATTCACAAATTTCACTTCAAACAGAAACAGAGTACACCACTGTCAAAGCTGTTAACAGACTGGCATACTTGAACCCCCTAAATTCTCTTCAACCAGCCTCATGCGGAAGTGGCGCCAGTCAGGCGGGGAAAGTTAGAACTAAATCATGAGCGTAGCAGCTGTCAATTTAGCCCTTATAGCTTACTAATGTTCTAATTGTGCCGGTCAGTCTGGTTATTTCGTTGAAACTTATTTTATTCTTTGGTATTTTAAATACATTCATTATAAAAATAAAAATATAAAAGACAAACAAAATGTATTAATAAAAATAAAAAGATTTGTTCTGTGAAATTTGGATTCAGTCAAAAGGCCACATGTGGCCTTACGGCCGCAGGTTCCCCACCCCAAACTATCCCATGTAGCCTAGGTGTGCAGTAGGCTTTACCGTCTAGGTTTGCATAAGTGCACTCTATGACGTTCACACAATGACGAAATCGCCTAACAACACATTCCTTAGGATATATCCCTGTCATTAAGCAACTGTGTTCATATATATAGGTATACACACACATACCCCTATACCAGCTGGATTCACTTATGAAATACATTTTGATTGGGGAAAAATGCACAAACTCAAAAGACAATTCCAATAAAAGCAAGTATAAATGCTTCTGATAAAAGTCAAACAGAAAAACATAATTTTCTGTCATAACAGGTAGAACGAGGACTTTATGTAGAAGGCTGAGTCATGGTCCAAATGCATAGTGATTTTCAACATGTGACACATCAAAAAAAGGAAAAAATTAGAAACCTGAGGGATACTCAAAAGTCTCCAACACATATACTATTTATTTCTCCTTAGAAATTATGCATGGTACTAAGAACCAATGATGCAAACAGAAATGAGATACAGCCTATAAGGGACAGCCTAACCTAGTGAGTTCAATTTAGTCCCATCATTTGTTTTTCAATTAATCATTTTGAGTTTTCCTCATTTATTCCATAATTAAATTAAGCTAAGTGATCAAACTTTTTTTTAATTTCATAATATTATGGGAGTACAAACATTTTGGTTACATAAATTGCTTTTGTACTGTTTGAGTCAAAGTTATAAGTATGCCCATCATACAGATAGTGTGCATTATACCCGTTAGGTGTGAATTTACCATCATCTAAACAAAAACCACAAATTAGAAACTATCCAAGTAACCAGCAGCCAAACTCTCACCTTCACCTCAATTTCTATGAAACTATTACTTGATACTTAGCATTTATAATCACCTAGAGATATCATTTGTATATGTCCTACTTCCCAAACTAGAGTATGAGCTTACTGAGACAAAACCTGTTCTTTACATTTCCTTCACAATGAATACTATCAGATATTCTTTAAGGTGTTGATAAAGAAACATGAAAATGCTTCCTCATATCTTGGAGAAGAGAATAATACCTCTATCACATGTGGTCAAAACAATTTTAAAGAGTAAGACCTACCTTGCTTAGTCACTTTAAAATTAAATCTTAAATAACCAATCAATTTAGAATAAGATAAAGAAATCATGATAATGATATTGACGAAGATGATGATGACAACAGCTAACACTAATGGGTACTTACTATGTGTAAGGCATGGTTTTAATCACTCTACATGAATCAGCTTATTAGAACTTTGCAGCTATCCTATGAAAGAAAAATTATTTTCCTCATTTTACAGATCAGAAAACTGAGACACAGAAAGGCTAAATAATTTTCCTGTGTCTCACAGCTTACACATAGCAAAGCTAAGATTTGAAACCAGGCAGGCTGACCCAAGTCTAGCTTACAGCCAGTATACTCTGCTCTTCTTCTAAGTGGATGTCAATAGAATCTACTGATTGGTTGATACAGAACAATCTCTGTCACTAAACTTAATTGTTATAAATTTGGCCTTTTAAATCAGTAAGATTTTGAGGGTGATACATTGGCCATTTGTACCAAGCCCTGAATTGAATAAAATTAGTCAAACTATACCTGCCCAAGAGTAAGTGGAACAGCATCCTGAGTATGAGTACGCCCAATTTTGATGATCTGCGCAAACTCTTTGGATTTCGCATTGAGCGCCTCATGTAGCTTCTGTAGTCCTGGTAACAGTACTTCATGAACTTCTACTGCAGCAGCAATGTGCATTGCTGTGGGGAAAGTATCATTTGAGCTCTGTTGGAAATTTTGCAAAAGAAATATAAAATGCTAAATCAGAGGCAACAATAAACAAACTTAAATGTTTCAATTAAAAAACTCACTAACACTCAAAACTCTGTATATGGTACTCAACATTTATGTGTGGCAAGTCACATAGGTCACTTAGGATCAAATAAGAAGCGACTTGGTTTCCTAGCATATGCTCAGAACTGTATTATATATACCAAATACACTAAATGTATTGTGTGTGTATATATATAGATACATATTATATAAGATACATATTACATCTGCCTACTAATAATTGACAGCAAAATATTGAGAAGTATAGTTCACAACCACATTTGAGGATAACAATTATAACATCTTACAATTATACAGTGCATAGTCTTTCATGAACATTTATTTATTATGTTTAGGAAACTTCTGTGAGGTAAGTCAACACTTTAAAAGTAGGAAAGCCAAGCTCTCAAAGAGACTATGTGACTTGCAAAAATATTTAGGACCTGGCAAAACTCAGTCCCTTGGGGACCGTCACATCTATGATAATCTTTCCCAAAATTCATAGTCTCAGTCTAATCATGAGAAAATAAAAGACACACAAAAATTGAGGGACATTCTACAAAATACTTGACCACTACTATCGAAAGTGTCAAGGTCACTACCATGGTCTGACTGTGCATATCCCCCCGAAATTCATGTGTTGAAATCCCAACCTCCAAGGCGATGGTATTAGGAGGTGGGGCCTTTGAGGGGTGATTAGGTCACAGGGGCAGAGCCGTCATGAATGAAATTAGTGCCTTTACGAAAGAGACCCCAGAGAGCTGCCTCATCCCTTCCACCACATAAGGACATGGAGAAAAGATGGCCATCTATGAACCAGGAAGTGGGCCCTCACCATGCAATGAATCTGCTGGTGGCTATCTTAGATTTTCAGCCTTCAGAAGTACAAGAAATTAATTTCTGTTATTTAATAAGCTACCCAGTCTATTGTATTTTGTTACAGCAGCCCCAACGGACTGAGACAATCACAAAAGACAAAAGACCAAGAAAATGTCACAGATTGGAAGAACCTAAGACATATGACTAAATGTAATGTGTAGCCTGGTCTGGATCCTGAAAGAGAAAAAGGACTTGGGTGGAAAAACTGGGGAAATCCTAGAAATGTCTGTTTAGTTGAGAGTATTGTATCAATGTTAATTTCTTAGTTTTGATACATGTACTATGGTTATGTAAGATGTTAACATCAAGGGAAGCTGAGTGAAGGGAATGTAGAAACTCTTTGAAATATTCTTGTAATTCTTTAATATGAAATTATTTCAAAATAAAGGGTTTTAAAAATAAACCAAACAATAAAAATATACATCTATACTAAATTTAGGTATCCTAAAAATGACTTTCCTGAAGTTTGAGACATAAAGCCAAGATTCCTAAAAGAAATAAGACACATAACAAATCTTCTTTGTTTAAGAATATAAGCTGAATGAACTCCCCTTGTCAAAAGGCCAGTCCTTGTTTTACAAGAAAAATCTCAGGTATGCTTTATAATTTATAACAAAAAAAGAAGAGATCATATACTGACCTGGCTTTTATTAACATGATCATTGGGATGCACAGGTTTCTTGCTACCAAGTTCACCTCCTAACATTTCAATTGCTCTATTGCTAATGACTTCATTTACATTCATATTTGTCTGGGTTCCTGATCCAGTCTGCCACACCACGAGAGGAAAATGATCATTTAATTTACCTTCAGCTACCTGCAGGAAAAATGTTAAAAATGAATTTTTTAAAATAAGAAATAATATTCTTTTAGCTGTTTTAGTTGACCATGACTAAGTAAGTTCCATTTGTAAAACTATTTTAAAGATGTTCATTGTTTCATATGCTAAATCACTTACTGATGGTGCCAAAGAGTTTGAGTACAGTTGTTCCACAAATCTAAGCTTTTGCAGCCATCACTTGCTCCAACCACTGATACTTTGGAAAGTGAAATATTATCTACTCTGAATGGCATGACAATTCACTGGTTACAAATGAAAACTGAACCAAAGCCATCTTCCTAATTTTTCCCCAACTGCCTCCTCTAATAGCAGACCACCTGTTAAGACTGGCAAGCATGTCAAGTCTTCAGATACATTTATTGTTGGTGCTCAGCAGGAATATCCAACAGATGTTACCACCAGAGTCAGCATCATAATGAGCCAGTGACTTGAAAATGTGAGTTCACTAATAGCTACTTCATTGCACAGATGTCCAATGAGCAGCAATCGCCAAATGTAGAAACAAACACTGCCCAGATTTGCCCCTATTTTTGTCGTATTTTTGTACTTGCAGCTCATGTTAGTTTTTGGATTGTATGCTTTCTAAAAGAGTGCCTGTATAACTTCTGGAGTGATTTTTAGCTTAAAAAATCAGAATGCACAATTGATCTATTTTAAAATAAAACTTTTTTTCTAGTTATATAATAGGTAATCATTGTAGAAAATTTTGAGAACTGAGAAGAATACAATAGCCACTGTGGTTCTACTCCTCAGAAATTATGACTTTAGCACGTTGGCATCTCCTTCCAGTCTCTATCCCATGCACCATTTGTTTGGGTGGATATGTATGTGAACACATTTTCTGTTATTTTTTTCTAAACAAAATTAGGATTATAAAATACATACACATTTTTGCAAACTTTCCTATTTCTCATAGACTAGGCTTTGTTCTATGCCAATATTCAAAAAACTAATTTTCTATAATTCACAATGTAACCATAACTTACATAAGCTGCTGTTATAGTTAGATACCATCTAATTTGTTATTATTATAAATAGTACTGTAATGAACAATACTACATACTATTTATACAGTTCTTAAACTGTCATTTCTGCTTGCTTCCTTAAGGCAATGTTATTAATGCATTAGTGAAATTACATCCTTGATATGTATTATCAAATAATTAACTAGTTTTAAAAGGAACCATTTATACATAAAATAAGAAATAAAGTTCCAACAGTGTCTTTCCAAAAAATTTTCTTAAAACTATGTAAATTAATAAGGAAGTCAAGAGGCTTAAACATAAAGGATATAAAATAATCCAGAAATTTTGTCATAATATTTTAAGTACCATATTAATATTCTCACTAAACAATAATGCTAACACTCGACCTTGAAATTTATTAACCCAAGAATTCACAATGTCCCTTCCTTCTGCCAGAGTATATCATCATCTAGTCTGACGCTATTAAGTAAACACACTTATCATCTCCCACCTCATCTGCTGCCTTCATTATTGCATCAGCAATCTTTGGATCAAGACCATAATCCTGGTTTACTTCAGCGGCCGCTCGCTTCAAGATGCCAAAAGCTTTAATAACTGGGATCTAAAATTAATCAGAAAAGTATCCCAAATTTATAATTTAGTTAATCACGAAAGTTTATTATTTAAGGCAGAGTAAGTGGAACAGCATCCTGAGTATGAGTACGCCCAATTTTGATGATCTGCGCAAACTCTTTGGATTTCGCATTGAGAGCATCATGTAGCTTCTGTAGTCCTGGTAACAGTACTTCATGAACTTCTACTGCAGCAGCAATGTGCATTGCTGTGGGGAAAGTATCATTTGAGCTCTGTTGGAAATTTTGCAAAAGAAATATAAAATGCTAAATCAGAGGCAACAATAAACAAACTTAAATGTTTCAATTAAAAAACTCACTAACACTCAAAACTCTGTATATGGTACTCAACATTTATGTGTGGCAAGTCACATAGGTCACTTAGGATCAAATAAGAAGCGACTTGGTTTCCTAGCATATGCTCAGAACTGTATTATATATACCAAATACACTAAATGTATTGTGTGTGTATATATATAGATACATATTATATAAGATACATATTACATCTGCCTACTAATAATTGACAGCAAAATATTGAGAAGTATAGTTCACAACCACATTTGAGGATAACAATTATAACATCTTACAATTATACAGTGCATAGTCTTTCATGAACATTTATTTATTATGTTTAGGAAACTTCTGTGAGGTAAGTCAACACTTTAAAAGTAGGAAAGCCAAGCTCTCAAAGAGACTATGTGACTTGCAAAAATATTTAGGACCTGGCAAAACTCAGTCCCTTGGGGACCGTCACATCTATGATAATCTTTCCCAAAATTCATAGTCTCAGTCTAATCATGAGAAAATAAAAGACACACAAAAATTGAGGGACATTCTACAAAATACTTGACCACTACTATCGAAAGTGTCAAGGTCACTACCATGGTCTGACTGTGCATATCCCCCCGAAATTCATGTGTTGAAATCCCAACCTCCAAGGCGATGGTATTAGGAGGTGGGGCCTTTGAGGGGTGATTAGGTCACAGGGGCAGAGCCGTCATGAATGAAATTAGTGCCTTTACGAAAGAGACCCCAGAGAGCTGCCTCATCCCTTCCACCACATAAGGACATGGAGAAAAGATGGCCATCTATGAACCAGGAAGTGGGCCCTCACCATGCAATGAATCTGCTGGTGGCTATCTTAGATTTTCAGCCTTCAGAAGTACAAGAAATTAATTTCTGTTATTTAATAAGCTACCCAGTCTATTGTATTTTGTTACAGCAGCCCCAACGGACTGAGACAATCACAAAAGACAAAAGACCAAGAAAATGTCACAGATTGGAAGAACCTAAGACATATGACTAAATGTAATGTGTAGCCTGGTCTGGATCCTGAAAGAGAAAAAGGACTTGGGTGGAAAAACTGGGGAAATCCTAGAAATGTCTGTTTAGTTGAGAGTATTGTATCAATGTTAATTTCTTAGTTTTGATACATGTACTATGGTTATGTAAGATGTTAACATCAAGGGAAGCTGAGTGAAGGGAATGTAGAAACTCTTTGAAATATTCTTGTAATTCTTTAATATGAAATTATTTCAAAATAAAGGGTTTTAAAAATAAACCAAACAATAAAAATATACATCTATACTAAATTTAGGTATCCTAAAAATGACTTTCCTGAAGTTTGAGACATAAAGCCAAGATTCCTAAAAGAAATAAGACACATAACAAATCTTCTTTGTTTAAGAATATAAGCTGAATGAACTCCCCTTGTCAAAAGGCCAGTCCTTGTTTTACAAGAAAAATCTCAGGTATGCTTTATAATTTATAACAAAAAAAGAAGAGATCATATACTGACCTGGCTTTTATTAACATGATCATTGGGATGCACAGGTTTCTTGCTACCAAGTTCACCTCCTAACATTTCAATTGCTCTATTGCTAATGACTTCAT